CTTTTTGGGCCACACTCTGGGAGTGTCCAAGGTCATAGAAGTGGAACGTACTAGCTACTTTAAGGCCATCTGAAAAATGAACAGTTTACCACTTGATAAATGAGTGCATGTGTTATTGATATATGATGTTAATAGGATGGGCCTTATGGCGCTACCCTGAACTACGCCAGGAGTTATTTTGCTAGACTAGGAAGTCATAGACCCGAGTCCAACTATTTAGGTACTGCTGTTGAGGAATGATTTAAGCCATCTGTCAATGTAGTTGAAGATTGAACGATCAATTCATGGTTGTTTGCTCAAACCCAACTTCCCTATATTTTCGCGGAGACATCGATACACCAGTCATCGTCTCATCGGTCGCTGTTCAGAAAGAAGTCAGGAGACAACCATTAGAAGTAATATTGTGATTTATTATTGTAAAATTTGTTCATAGACCTTAGTTAGAGCTTAATTTTAAATTTGGCTATATATTGGTGTTATAATAAAGAATTCTCGGGTAGCCAATCGGTGTTTTGGTTTTGCGTCCGTAATTACTAAGCGTTTCTGAGAAACTTCAAGGAACAGCGTGAGTCCCAGCGTAGCAAGAGCTGAGCATTGACGGTTTACGAGACATGGCAGACACCATCCCAATAGTGGGTCACGTATTTTTAAGGAGATCAGGGTATTTAACGAGAGCAAGTAGTCGACCCCATCGAATGTTTTAAAGTTCCAGAGTACTTGACGAATACTAGTCGTCATCTTTCATGGCTACTGGTCGCAAGAGTGGGAGAATTCGGTCGACAGGTTAAACATGACCGGGATTTTAGGAATCTATGTTGACTCATACTTACAGCATTGCAGCTAAGCATGTGTTTGAGGATGTTTTCTTTAATTACTCTTCCCATAATTCCAAATTTCGCAGATGCGATCTTGATTAGTCTGTAGTTGTTGACTTCTTTTGTCATTTCGGAAGTGTGTTTGGGTATAGTAAAAGCCATTTTTCCATTTATCCTGGTAGCTCAACGTTTATGAGGACATTCTAAGGATTTAATGCAGTAATGTGATATCAGAACCACCGTGTTTGCAAAACTAAGGCAGTGTAGCGTTAGTACCAGCAACTTAAGAGCTTTTGAAAGTCATAATGGCCTGGTTAATGTTAGCATGTGTGAACTCGGTGCTTATTTGTTTTCGTATGGGAAAAGACGGAAGTTGCAACATATCAGTAGAGTGAATACCGAGTAAAAGGACTGTTGGTTTCAGGTAGTTAGATGCAAATGTTTTGCTAAATAATTCACACATATCCACATACTCGTTGCAAAGCCTACCTTTGTAGATAAGGGGAGAAATGCTATAGTACTAGAAATTCAATCTCTTCTTTAGGATTTCCGTGAGAGCATACACACTTACAGGGCTGGCTAGTGCGGTCCAATCTCCATTCCCCAAAGACAAATCATGAGCTTTCGAAATGGAGCTAAGAGTGGCAAGTATTGACCTTAGTGCGCTGAAGCAGTGGTGTTTTAAGTACCTTATCGATAGTCTCCTTAGTTTCGTGCTATACTTTGATTTTATAAATGGCTTTTCATATTGGGAAACTTTTGGTGTTAGGAGTGGAATGGTGGCATCTGAGCATGTGTTTGAGTTCTGGTGGAAGATGCCTAGAGCTCTCGAGGGGTCATCAGTAGTGAAGTATTCACCCCATTCAGAGGACCTCAGCATTGATTCTACGAAAGCCCACTACTATGGTTCCCACATGTTATTTGTTGTGAAGCAGAGGTGTAGGCTACATTGCGGCACAGTGGAAGTGGCAATGCACACAGCGCTGTTTTGTAGTCACTACCTGAAAACATAGAACTCACAAAGATTGAGAGGGGACTTATATTGTGGCAGAATATAAAGTCTAGTGCATTGTCTTCTCGTATGAATAGTGACGGCTCTTTTCTAGGCGAAAATGTCCAGTGTACCTAAAAGCTTGTCACATTTAGCTGGGCCAGTAACTGAGTCTGAGCTGATTTCGAGCATGTCGGGGTCTCAGAATAGGATCTTGAGTTCGTTTGGAAGGTTAGATTATTGCTCTGTTGTATTAGTAAGTTGGGTCTACTAGTAACTAAAGCTGCCAGGTGCTCTGCGACATTTTTGAAGTGCACGTCGACCTACAAAGTGCCCTTAATTTTGTTAATTATCCTATTTTCTACGTACAGTACGGAGTGTTCAGGATTCACATAAAACAGTCTCCTTTCTTACCACTTTTCCTGTCACACAGGTAGCGTGTCCTTATATATGTTTGTCTATTAGTCTTGTGTGTAGGGGTTCGAGTTCTCTTAGCATCAGTAGTTTGTTTAGGATAGATATAACTTTCATTGGGATTGTGTGATGACGAGATTTAAAATGATTCTTGAAGTACTATAGCTAGTTAATCGTGCTCCAGTGCGATCCGCTACAGAATAAGGTTGTTACACCTTTTGATTACATGTGTACTCCTCATCTCAAGATCGAATTATGGACAGATTAACTTCCAAAGAGACAGCTAAGTTACTTCGACTTTATTCAGATCCTTAAAGTACTTGATTTAGTCACCAGCTCGAAATCTTTGGAATACCAAGCCTCTTACTGGTTTCTTCGTAGAAATAGCTTGTGGACGCCTAAGTGCCATCCACGGTGCTTTAAATGACGATGAAGTCTCCTAGTTCAAATGATATTTGACGGTTTACTCGTTTCAACTGGCACCCTTAAGATCAACGGACTTAAAGCCTTTAGTATTAATACGCGTTGATAAAACTGTTTGGTGATCTGCTATAGCTTTCATGCATTAGTTAGCTATCAACAACTTAAAAATACATATCAGGACGACACATAACCGATGGAAAGCTTGAAGTAATTAGAATGATGGGAACTTGCCTTTTTGAAAAATTTGAAAACAGGCGAAATGACAAGGCCAAACAATTGACAATAGTAGTGGAGTGATAAACTTTCTTATAAATGAATTAAACATATCGCTGTTTAATGTTAATATAAAAAATCAGTGCATGAATTATGACCACGCAAAATGCAATCTGAGTGGTTCCTCCAAAGTGTGGATGGTGCCTCGCTTGAGAGTTCGAGAAAGAATGAAGCATTTAAATGGTCTTACATCACTTCAGTTTGCCACTAGAGTGCGCCTGCAAGCCTGTTAACTAGATTGAAAAATAGGAATTCGTTTCTTCCCAATAACGGATCAATCTATTCCTTCAGATTTACTGATCGACAGTTTTCCTTTCCACTCAACTTTAGAAAGTAGTAGGCTTTCCTTCATAAGAAGTGGATAATTATAAAGAGTTTTTGCTCTGCTCACTTTGTCTGAGCACAAAAGATGTAGTGTATGGATTCTAAAATATTTACCATTAATGTTAAGCGATTTTAAAATTTAAGGATCTAAAACTTGTCGCCTGGGTTCTTCCAAAAGTATTTCTGATTTATCCTAGTGTTTTCGCGTAAAAACGGAAAACAGCTACTGAACAAACGGACGGAATACTTTGAAGGCCGCTAGCTTCAGTACTGCACAAGTGAGAGGCTGTTACCTCTGCATTCTGTACATTACAAGAAATATAAATCGCATGCTGAAGACTGATAAATTCATGTCTTTATGAAACTGTTATTTTTATTCTTCTGTCACATCATCACATCTTCTGTCTGAACAAAAGACACTGCCAGTTTCCGCCAGGGTAATAATGTGAACTTCCAACTTATTACTTGTGCATAGATCTGCAATTCAGAAGCTATTTACCTGGATCCGAAGAGATCATGTGTATATTGCAGAAGCCTAAAAAATTTTAAAATATATTTTCCCACTACAGCAACTTTAGAAGGTCTTGAATTTCACTTAGTACTACCACTATCAGTATAGGCGAAAAATTATTTCCAAGTGCTAAAGTACCAAGATTTTCTGCCTGAGATTAGACACTACAACGCCCATGTAATAAGATACCTTGGAATACGTAGAGGAGTATTCTGAGTCTATCCTATGAGTAGTAAAACCCTGAGCCCTACGGACTCCAGTGTCTTGTAGGATTCGTAATTCTTCATACTCATATTAGTTTCGTGGGCGAAGTTATATGAACCATTTGACATGGCTTTAACGGACTAGTGAAAACCGATTTAACTTCTTTGTGCTCGCTTTTTGGTATTGAACTGAAGGTTCCCGGTCTTCTGTAAGTTTCTGCGAAGTTTGTCCCGCTACTCTACTATCGTAGCTTTGGTTGACCCCAAAAGGTGTGGTGCTGGTATTAAATATGTTTTTTGTAGTGTGCAGTGTGTTAGGACCGTGTTGCTACAGTGAATAGAGTTGATCCTTTCACCATTTTGTCCCCTAGTGGCATGGAAAAAAGGAAAGAGATAATAATAGCAGATATGATTACTGGAGGTTATGCAGACTAAAAGACAGGAAAATAAAAACAACGTATAAACAGACAGCTGATGGATTTCGAAGTTGATATATATTCAAATATATTATCAATAATGATGGCAATAAAAGTGGTGTAATGAACGTAATATTGTTTCGCCAGGAGTGTGAGACAATAGATGTTATGAAGAAGTAAATCTAAGAGTTTAGATGTCTGCCGAATAATAGTATAACAGTATTTAGCAACTGGGATATTAGGAGATATCACTGTTTCTAAAACACTGAAAACGGCAGGTATACTGACTCTCTTAGTTAGTCACACGCCAAATATGACACACGCTTTTGTCGCTGATTGATAAAGGCAGTAGACATCATTGGAGTGCCAGTGCTTTCAAAACCATGATTTAAAAGACACTGCAAAAAGTATGACTCAAGAAAACAGCAAAAGCAGTAGACGATATAATATTAATTTAAATAAATGTCACTACCTTTATAAAATACTTATTTTTGCGCACAATAAACCCATAATTACTCAGAGCGGTGAACAATGTGCTTTCAGATTGAAAAAACAGATGACCCGAGAAGTTGCTAATTGTTAAGAAACTAAGAAAGTACTTCCGAGAATAACTCTTCAGAACACATGGTTGTTAGGGCATGGACAACATGTTCATTCCAGAATAAAAAATGTACTCGTTCACTCTACAGTGGTTTCACAGTTGTTTAAGTGCACCAGTTTAGTTTTTTTGCACACATCAAAAGTTCAAGTCTTTTGACATCAGTATCTTGATACCGTGGTATATTTCGCTATGGAGGGATATGATTCCAGAAAGCCTCCCAGTGTCCGTGTGACCGTCTTAGAAGATCCCAACAGTAGCCTTCAAGAACTTTTCAATCCTGTTTCTCAAAGGCAGCAAGTCCCTTTGCATCAACGTAAGCTGCCTAAATCCTTTTTCGTTCCTCCTGGTGATGCAAACGAAACTTCTCGTTTTTCAAAATTAAACTCCCTACATTGTAATGAAAGGAATTCTTCAGATTTCGTTGTATTTCACAGCAAAGCTAATTCGTCTCCGGCATGCTTAGATGCTGCTCTACGTACACCAGTTTCCGTAAATGCACCTAATCACGCGCATCAAAAAAGTCTGGATGTTGCATCAAAATATATTTCCGAATTTAGCCCGGACTTCAGCTTCTCAGATTCTTGCAGTCCTGGGTTCATACAAAGGTGTTTTATATAATAAATATATTTGAACATTACCCTTTTAGAGACTCTAGACAAACTCCATTACTATGTAGACCGACTGTGGCTTTTGCTATTAGTGATCTTCCTGTTGGTTATGATATGGCGATAAATGAAAGTAATCAGGTGTACTTTCTTAATCACCAGACACAAGAAACTACCTGGTATGAGGTCTTTAATTTAATGTTTTGTTGTGAAGGTTCGACCCTAGGATACCAGAAAAGTTTCAGAACTGGGGCATGACACCTGAAGAACTTGAACAGGTACATATACGCTACGCGAAGCAATTTCTGTGCACAAATCCATCAGCAAATCTGAATGTAAATATTCAACAGGTTGGTGATTTTTCATATGATTTTCAGTTTTGTCGGTTTAATAAAGAAGTTGCAGTTGAATTTATCATGATATTTTCATCATTAGCCTGAGGAAATCTTGAGTATTGACTTCAAAACTGTTAGCTACCACGGCTGCATAATTTTGTAGCTTATTTCCAGCACTGAAACTGATTGTGATAGGTACTGACATTTACTGAATGAGTTATTAATCCGCTCATGACTTGATGGATTGGTAGTGAGAACTTTATTTGTTTTGTAAGTGCCTTCAAGTAAAACCTTTGGTGGATGCAGTCCTCTAGCTCAACCTCGTGAGCTTTGCATATACCGCGTATTCCATGAATCTTTCATTTTGTGGCAGTGACGTTTTGAGTGTTATGTATTCTAGAGTTACATTTCTTAGCAAGCTTATTCATAAAAATTAGAGCTTTGCTTTTATCATTCTTATTATTATTACAGTGCAATCGATTCAAGTTATGTGCCTAATGACTGTTTGTATCTAAACTAAGGGGAAATTACTAATTATTAAAATTATGGTTGCAAACTAATCGGGCGGTTAAATTTATTTGCACTACATTATGCAGTGGACATTTTTAGGAGACCTGCTTTTTGTAAGGACGCCGACAGCATGTATTTTGACGACGTACACTAGTTGGAAGCACTCTATACCAGACACATTTGCCATAAGATAGATATTTTATAGCTTTTATTTATTTAAAAATACTGGCCTTACCAGTAAGCTTGTTTACTTTCAGTCAAGTTTGATGTATTGTTTGATCTGCTTAGATAACTTTATGTCCTCTCCCGCATAAATATTCAAAATATGTGGTTAAAATGTATAACTTTATGGTGTGGTTATCCACCCAAGAAAAAACTGCTAACAGTTGATTGTTATACCTAGCTAGATTTTTGTTTTCTCAAATGTTTTTGTCAGTTTATTCCAATTTAATAACTGTATGTCAACAGGTAATTCATAAGGAAAAATCCATTTTCATAAACAGCTACAAAGTTTAAATAGTACAGTAGGGCTAATTTTACTCCTTCTGAAAATTATATTTCCCGTATTTATCTATTTCAATTTATTTTGTTACTATTTTTTAAACTGTAAGTAGTTGTCAGTGAGCTCACTAAAGGTTAAAATGTCACAAACAGGTGTTTATAATCTAATTCTTGTTTGTTTTCGGGATCGGATGCAGAATTATCATATTCAGATTCATGTACTCAGTCTCCAACACCATAGTGTCACTGATATTCTAATAGGTTTATACACCTCACTAAGGCTTTTGACAATAAAAGTGTAACCAGAGATCGTACAATGTGAACTTGAGCGTATTTTTGGTGGGATTTATCCACACTTAGCTGTAATAACAGAACTCTATTAGTAATTCTTCAATGGGCTCCTTGTATGTGGCTATTTTATCAAAGACCATACCTTTTTATAGCTCATACAGCTCTTAACTTCCAAAAGGTAAAAAATTATGCTATGTAACCAGGACAAATTCACTTTAACCTCAGTGGTTAATTCATCTCAAATAAAGGTAGATAAAAGTAACTGTAGCTGTTTTTAAAGACTAGCTAAGTTTCCTTCCATTTTCATGCACTGTATTTCATATTGGTTACGTTGACTATACTAAAGCAAGCCCATAAATGTAAGAAAGTAGGAATATAAATGGAATGATATATACATAGAGACAAATATGAAACAGTGACAAAAACCAAATTTCATAGTGAAATTATCAGAAAAAAAATGTAGTGGGAGATCTTTTTTCGCACTTCTTGAGACTACGACGGTGATAGCCATGAAATCTCTTAACAAAATGTTGATTATTAAGTAAATTAAAGTTTATTTTCAGAACCCACCACTGACAGCATTAAGACAGAGCAGAATAAATTTGTTCTTAGTCTTAACCAAGCTAGAATGTTCTCTTATTTAAAATCTTGATTTCAGTGAAGCTCGAAACGTTGTATTATAAACAACTGGTTTATATATAATAATATATAAGAAGGAATGAGTTGGAATGAATGTGTTATGAATTTATCAACTTGTTTTCAATTCACCTGGCCAGACTAAACACATTTGACTTTTAAGGTTGTTAATCTTAATGAGGACAAAAGGTATATCTGTCTTTGTATTTAGTTGATCACGGTAGTTAAAGTGCTTATCATCGTAGCAATGAATGGTATGGAACACAAATATTCATATCTTACTTCTAAAATCCGAATATATTTTCACCCACCCCTAATCGTTTTGTGTGACATTCAGTATCGTAACCGGCTCAGTAATTTTTCCAAAGAGAAGAGGAAGCCCAGTAAAACTTCTAGGTAGATAGTTTAAACAACAGGAAATATGACATTTATCAACATTTGCGCTTTCAGATGACATTCCTTAATTATTCAGAAACCATTTGAAGGTATCCTGTTTATTCTGGATGTAACATTTTCATTTGTCTACAGATATTATTTGTTTGAGTATGAGGTGAAACAACGCCTTAGTTAGGGGCAAATCTAAAAGCAGGAACTGAGGATCTTAACTTTTTATGCGGTGCGTCCGTTTTTGGTTTTCTCTTAGGTTTGATAACTGATATTGAGAAAACGAGGATTTTATTGAAGCTATCATCCTCAAAAGCTGTATAATCTCAATTCGTATACATAATTTAGCATAATTACAATTATTATTTAGTTGGATATAGTAATAAAGGTGGGACTGGAGCGAGAGGATAATTTTCAACTTGATATGGAGGCTGACAGATGTGGTGAGGGATAGGTATTATTCACATGGATCACAGATATCAAAATTACGCGGGACTACTAATATATTATTTTGTAATATGTGAAATGATTTTTGGCGGGAACAGGTGCGATTAGAATGGGCATAGAAACAAGCTTGAGCGAAATTTTATTCCTAAAGATGAAACAAATGTGGAGAGGAAAAAAAGCTAAAGAAAACACGATCAAACAAGACTAGGTTTTTGGTAGATGCACAGGTTAAAATAGCCTCTTTTGAACACGTAATCTTCGTCCCTTCATGCACATAGCGAAGGCTTTCGTAGCATGAAAAATGTAGAAGCGCTCTGTTTTTTGTCGATTTCTGTTCACTTTTAAATGACTCTGAGTGATTTCATTTGAGATGTTGCGACAAGTGCTAACAGCCACACAGCTTTTGATTAAAATAGTGCGATTTCCTTCCAGCCACGCTCGGCAGTGTTGTCTTACACTTTTTGACAGGACGAGCACAAAGCAACTTATACATCGAGCTCCACAGGAGCAGGTTAACTGAATTTCTTGTTTTCTCCTCAATATTCTGCTGGGTATTTTCTATGTTGTGATATTGATATGTTTATGATTAAAAAAAGCCAGAAAAAAGTAGGCAATCTACGTACACATTGTACTTAGAATAAAAAACAGTGACACTCACTGAGAGACCATTATGAAAGTGAACTTAGTTTAGTGAAAATTTTATGCTGAACGCAAAATATTTAAGACCACAAAGTCGAGATCGTTGTAGGAAAGGTCGTTATGCATTTCTAAGCATTCAGTTATGGGATGAATGCATTTGTTCAGCCACCTATCATAAAAACTTGAATGTTTCCCTGAATTAAAAAATTCGTGTGTGACTGCATTTATCGATAAACTAATAGTGGAATTTTTAAAAATTTTATATCACTATGTAACTAAACTGATTGACTTATTACTCGTTCTACTATAATCTCAAATTCTGAGAGCTAAAACGCTGCTGATGTTTGTTGATCAAATGATGTATTATTTCCTCAGTTCTGTAATAAAGGAATTTCATATGATTTATTAATTGAGAATTGTCATAGTTACATGACTTGTTGGTAGGCGGGTTAAATAATCTAATTTCATGAAGTGAATGAGGAAAAACTTTGGTGTATCTTTTTTAGAACTTCCACAGTGAAGACTGAAATCTTAAAAATATCAGTTTTCACCAAGAAACTGAAGTACTGTTCACTTCTCAGCCGCCTCACTCCTAAACCTTTGATTGAATATTAATTAGTATTATGCCTCTAGTCCTTTGTTTGCTGAAGATTGAGGTGCATTAGTCAAACCCAGGTGCAAGGCTTCCTGTCGATTGCCTTCAGCCATCTATTAAAAACACTTCTGGATGCATCGTGATGTAGAGTTACATAGAACGGTGTCTACACTGCAAGCTTGACCGATGAAATTCAGTCTGCACAAAACAAAGGACTAGACGCATAACACTAGTTAGTGTCTAATTCAGTCCTACAGGAGATCAGTCACGAGGCTGGATAGCTTAGTGGTAATATCTTTGACTGCGGCACTGGGTGAAGCGGGTTCGAACCTCGGAAAGGACATGAGTTCCTCGAGGACTACAGATACTCCTTGCTGGCTGGTAGATGCTAACAGAAGAAATCCTAAGTCCAAGACCTCTTACTGATTGCCTCCAACGATTTAATAAAATTTTTAAACAGCCTAGTGTATTAGGTGGTGAGGCTAGCAATCTCATTCCGTAAAAGCAACTCCACCAACACTGAGATTCTAATGCTTAGAGCCTTATGGTCCACTTAGAATGCAAAGGAATAAAAAAAAGCATTCTTTTACATTTTGACTATGTCATTTCAGTGTCTCAATAGCTAGTTCTCAAGTGAGTAGTATATGAGGATTGAATTGGCTTGAAGCCAATGGGTGGTGGATAAATTCTGAATGTAACATGAAACGCCCGGGTAATAAATATTCTGCTCACATTTTAAGTGAATTTCGATTTCACTTTCAATTTATGATGAAATCTACTTCACAGTGAACTATTTACTTAAATCCAATAGATTTTTTCAACTTATAAAACGAAATCAAGTTACGATTTCATAGGTCACAGCGGTAATTCTCATAATTTATCGACCGAGATATTTACTTATGGTAAATTTATACTTTAGTTAAATATTTTCATTTCCCTACCACTATCTTCTTCTTCGATCACTTGGAATTAGCACCTTTTATTACAGTAGTTTTCAAGTAGTTTTGTATTA